AAGGCAGCTAAGAGAGCTTCTCGAAACCCTGCCTGCTCGTCCACCTCTTGGGAGGCTGAGGGGCTTTATCTAAAATCATAACCAAAATTTCCACGTGTTCTCCTGGATTCAAGCCTCCCAGAGTCAATCAAGTTATCCTAAACTTTTCTAGAAGTTAAAAACAGTTTGGAAATAGGAATACTTCCAAAGCAATGTAAAAATCCTTGCAAAAGCAAGAGTAATTTGAAGAGCACAGACTTGGTTCAGCCATTTGAGGAGCTGACTAGAAAAAGGGAATTTTTATTTTATTTCTCATATGTATCATATACTTTGGAAAGTTTCACTTAAGGAGATAGTAAAAGTTTAATTGAGGTAGTAGGCATTTGAACAAGGATGTGACTGACAAGTAAGGATTTCAAAGGTGGAGGGGACAGAAAAGGGTTTAAAGACAGAAAACGGCACAGGCACAGACCAAGAGTCAGGGATGTGTGTGGGTGGTGTCGGTGGTAAAGTTGCCACTCAGGGTCCCGGTAAACTCTGAGAGTTGGATTTAAAAATTAGCACCAAGTCATAATGGAAGAGATCAGAGATATGCAAAGGCCTCTTATAGGAAGACTACTTTCCAGGCCAGTGGCAGAGTATAAGGCGTTTCTAGCCTACATGTGTGTATTCATATACGTAGAGAATAAATGTAGGCAAAAAATGTTGGGGGCAGTACAGAGAGGGTTGGTGGTGAACCTGGAAACTTTAGAAACCAAGACAGAGAAAAAAAATTCATCTGAAGGCAGAGAATAATGAAAAACTAGTCATCCTTAGCATTCTAAATTTGCTTTAGCTTGTAAACCTGTAAACTAATTTGTCTAGTGCTTGTGATAAAAATATATTTATTTTAGAAATGATTGCAATCTTATTTTATATTAAGTTGGTGCAAAAGTAACTGCAGTTTCTGCACTTTTGAACCCACCTAATAGATATTGCAATAGTCTAATATGGCCTGAAGACTTTTAACATTTGAATCAAATTACTAGCTTCCCTTACTGTAAGGCTATGTTCATATAATTTAGCTTCCTAAATTACTGTTGAGGGCATTGATTAGCAAAAGCATTTGACCCACTTATGACTATGGTCCTCACTATAAATTAACAGAGTAGCATTTTCATTTATGCATTGGTCCTTTGTGAGCTTGATTAGCATAAAGCATCCCCAAGAAACTGATCTAGACTTGGTACAAAAAGGCAATCAAGTTCTGGACCTGGAAAGCTTGAGACCCATAGCCAGTATGAGGTGCCAGTCAACTGGCTACTTTTGAGACCTATCCAGTCAAAGATCCAGCCTGGAGGGCACCATACCACCACCCAAAAACTATGCCACATAGGCTGGGGTGCATGAGAAACACTGGGAGATGGAGATACAATAAGGGATGTGGTTGGGAGAGCAAGTCAGGGCATATTAATGAAATCCTTGAAAATTGGTTAGGTTTGAAGGCCGTGGGGACTCACTGAAGATATGTTAGCAAGGTATTACATAAAATCAGTTCCCTATTTAAGGAGAACTTCTCTGTTTAATGGATGATAGCTGGATTGAATGGGAAAGCTGGAGACAGGGGACTAATTTAGTCTATTGTAATTGCATAGGTAGGAGGTGAAGGAGACTGTGAAAAGGCCAGTGGCATTGAAATAGAGTGGAAGGCTCAGCTCCAAGAGACATTTCTGTGGCTCCAGGTCATACTGATGTACCTTGATTTCCTCACTTGTAATATTAAAAGGGAGTCACTGCCGCCTGTCTAGGAGAAAGGACTCTGCTCTTCCTGCCTTCCTCTATTATTTGTAATAATTTTCAGAAGGTTGCCCTCTTTTCATAAAGCAGGTAGAGGTGTTTAATAGCTCTTGAAGCAAAGCAGAGCTTATGAAATTCCTCTGACTGGTCGCATTCTGGACTAAGCCCAAACACGATAGTCCTCTCCAGGCCTGAAAATTGCTGAATACTGTCTAAAACAATGTGGCTTCCGCAAACACCAGTGGCCTGGCTAAACACAACCTCTGATGCTCTGTGGGTCTCAATTAATTCCATTGCTTTTAGCAGTGCAAGCTTATAGCGTCCTCTGTCCTCCCCTCTCCTGCACAGAATTGCTATATCTTTGGGCAGATAGCCACACTGGAACAGGCTGTGACATTTTCCTGCCACATAGTTAGCTATTTGTTCTGTTGTCAGATTAGTCTTTGTCTCACACACTCCAGGCAGACCCTGGGCACACATTGCTTCCTCATAGGCAGTCTCCCTGAACAATGCTAATGTGTCTGGAGATATGTTGGAGGGAGGATTTTCTTTGATCCTCTTCATTTCTTCTTTCATAACATTTGCTATTTCCAGAGCACAGTGGATCCCACTGGTGATTGTTTTGCGAGGAAACTGAGCAGATGGAGGGGGAAGGCCACTGACATCTGCATGATGGATTTGAAAAGGGTCAAGAAAAAGCCAGAGAACCCCATGGTGAAGGTTTTCACTTCCAGCCCCCTTTGCCTTTGGATGGGTGATGTTCTTAGCCTTCACGTACCAATTGCCAAATTTGCTGCAGAAATTCTCAGTCTCATCCATCACTATGTGTTTAATCTTTAGAAACTCCCCTTGCATGAAAGTTTTCCGGGTCACAGCTTGGCAGGTGGTTTGTTGGCTGTAAGGATGGAAAAAACAAGGCTTGAGGCGTAACACCAAAGAGAACATCAGCATTCATTACTCCCTGGAATGGAATCAGAGGCTGATTCTCTTCTGCAGACTGAGTCATTGATTCAGTAGTGTGAATACCACAAAACAGTTCTAATTACAAGTTACCTGACAGACCGAATGCATAATTTTACACCTTGCTCTTTGGGGTTATCCAGTTAAATCTGCATGTGAAATTTCTGAAATGAACCCAGGTCACAGATTGTATTATTTCTATTAGCAGTCTGTTCCTACTGTCTGGCAATCCTGAAGACAAGTTCATTACATCTAAAGGAAATCTCAAAGTTAAGTTATACCTCTTACTACCACTACCATTTCTTTACTTTCTATCCTCTTTAGAGCTGGAGAACAGTTACCTAGATGCGTATCATAACTTTTATGTGCAAAAAAGCATGCACTAGTTCAAATTCCTCTAAAGCTTCTTTAGATTTGGGTAAGAAAAACATCAAGAGGATGCTGAGTTCCATGACACATCAAGTACGGTGCCAAATCTACGGGGCTATGCCTCTTTGGAGCTACCTCATTTACTTAGCTCAATTTTCCTTTATAGTATGCTTTAGCATATATGTGTTTTTTCTTAACAAATTTGGTTGGTTTTTGCCTCCTTTAATTTAGATCCAAGTAACATCACTCATCCCTACACATTCCATGATTTTACATATGCAGTTTCTAGGGCCTTTACTCCCTATGCCTTGAATCATAACTATGTTCTTCTCTTCTGGTTTGGACTGTGTGGACTCAAATAAAAGCACTGATTCTTAGCCATCTTTGTATCCCTCTTACATTAAGGGTTTAATAGATATTTGTTGAGTTAGCCTTTTTACTGGAGTATTTTTAAACTTAGCTATAAATCTTAATAAAGAACGTAGTCCTCAGCACAGTCTACAGGATCCCTCATAATCTGGCATCTGCCTCCTTTTCAACATCACCACCTGCTATATAACCACACACTGCACGACTCTAGTCAGACCTACCATTCTGGTTCTCTAGTGTCTCTATGTCTTTGTACTTGTTGTGCCCTTTGCCTAGAAGGCCCTCCCACATTTGATTCACTTCTCCTGCTGACTTCTTAACAGTGTGCCCAATGGTCTCCTTCACTGGGGAATATTTGCCAACCAACCTCTAGCCTGTTAAAATGAGCAGGAGACCAGGTGCAGTGGCTCACGCCTGTAATCCCAGCACTTTGCAGAAGGAGGTGGGCAGAACACTTGAGGTCAGGAGTTCAAGATCAGCCTAGCCAACATGGTGAAACCCCGTTTCTATGAAAAACACAAAAATTAGCTAGGCATGGTGAGGCACACTTGTAATCCCAGCTACTCAGGAGGCTGAGGCAGGAGAATCACTTGAACCCAGGAGACAGAGGTTATAGCGAGCTGAGATCATGCCACTGCACTCCAGCCTGGGCGACAGAGCAAGACTCCGTCTCAAAAATAAATAAATAAATAAATAAATAAATAAATAAATAAATAAATTAAAATGAGCATGCCTTTATTATTATACAATACACACATGGTTTTTTTATGGCAAGGTCTTCAATATGTTTTCTCCTCTAACACTAAATGTAGCACAGTAGATACCATATCAACAGTGCTCAAAAAGATGTATTGAATAACAAAACCAAACCAAAAATCATAATGATTTCACCCTCATTTGCTGAATTCCATAATGACCAATTCATTTTACTAAATTAAAAGTTAGAGATTTAAATCAGAAGTGAATTTGTATATTTTCTAAAATTACTGATTTTACAAGTCAAAAATGAAAATATTTTATGAACAAAATCAAGCTGTATTTAAATTTAAGTTTCGCTAGGTACAATGTCTAATTAGCAGAAATACCCTATGACTTTAAGACATTACGTATCAAACAAAAAGTATACTTAAAGCAGAATGGGTTCATTTCTACTTCTCTTAAATTTAAGGCTAAGGATTGTGAAAAAAGAAAGTTTCTGGTTCTATAAATTTAAGTTATGCACATGTGGGTTATTTATAATGAGATGTTTAAGGTTGAACATTCTAAATTACCTGTTTACAGCTCAATTCTGTGATTATTTGGAAATGTGTATATAGTTTGGGCTCTTGCACTTATGCAGCTGAGGCACTAAAAAACTTAAACTAAAAACACAAATTACTTTTGTGACACTCTTGAAAAGACTGACTAAATATATTTGTGTGTGTGTATAGTTGGTAAAACTCTTACGTCACAAAATCCTTTAGGGAGTCACTTTCACAAACATAGAGGATTTCTTTTGGTTTGCAGTGAAACAAGTCCTTAATTTTCTCCATGATCTTTATGGCTAGGGCTGTCTTCCTGATTCCTGGAAAGCAGTGGATGAATAATTCACGCGTCTCCTGAAGACTCTCAGAAAGCAACTGGCTCTGCTCCATTATAAGCAAGTTGAAAAACTCACAGCCCAGCTGGTCACTCAGAAGAGATCTGGAGCACAGGCAGACCACCACAAGAGCCTGCAGCAAGTCTTCCATTTCCTCCTCATCAGCAAGCCTGTAGGACCTGGGGTAGCACAGCGGGATATCACCAGCTCTACTCTGTGTGCTGGTCAGGTGTATCAGCCTTGGAATGATGCACACTTTCCCTGTGTAACCACCAACAGCTTGCAGTTTCTGCTTTAACTGATGAGCTGTGTTTCGGGCATATTCAAGTCCTCCAAGCCAATCGGGGTCTATTAAGATTGTATAGAGTACCATGGGGCTGTTAACTGCTATTAGGAGAGCATCACACAGGACATTCTGTTCTTTCCTGAAGCCAACATCACCAGCCCAGCTTCTAGAAAATATCACAATCCCCCGAGAACAAGGATGTATCAGGGTCTTCATTAATCCCTCCAGTTCTTTATGATCTGAGAACAGCTTCTTACAGAGGGATTCTGGTTTAAATTGTACCTCTTGCTGTGTCACTGAAAATTCAAGGAATAGATGTTACCAAAACTTACAAAAGCATATGGTAAGTATTCCTGCAACATTGCAGAAAAAAAAATGATACCTGGTGCACTTGGGAAAATAAGAGCTTTCCTTTAGAATTGTGATTCTTAACCAGGAGCAGTTTTACTCCCCAACTCTCCCCCATCCCCAAGGATATTTGGCAATGTCTAGAGAATATATATATATATGTATTTTTTTAGATGGAGTCTCGCTGTCACCCAGACTGGAGTCCAGTGGCGTAATCTTGGCTCACTGCAGTCTCTGCATCCCTGGTTCCAGCGATTCTTCTCCCTCAGCCTCCGGAGTAGCTGAGATTACAGTCACATGCCACCACACCTGGCTAATTTTTGTATTTTTAGTAGAGACAGGTTTCACCATGTTGGCTAGGTTGGTCTTGAACTCCTGACCTCAGGTGAGGTCACCCGCCTCGGCCTCCCAAAGTGCTGGGATTACAGGCATGAGCCACCGTGTCCGGCCTGAGAATTTTTTATTGTCACAATTGGAGGGGAGCTACTGGTATGTAGTAGGTACCAGCCAGAATGCTGCTAAGTATTCTACAATTCACAGGACTCTCCCTCCTCCAGCAAAGAGTTATCTGACTCAAATGACAATAGTGCTAAGGTTGAGAAACCCTGCTTCAGAAGAAGTTCAGATAACCCAATAGTTCCTTCTCCATTGGAAAGCCAGGGGCAGTTTTTTGATGGTTGAGACCTGAGAAATTCCCTGCACTCTCAAATTTGGAAAACAAAAGCCATATGTTATGAGAAGTTGGAAAGCACACAGAAATAGTAACAGTGGGACTCAGATGACTGGAAACAAGGGTCAGATATATAGATATTTAGATATTATATTATTATATATAATATATATGTAAAATTTCAGGATCATTATGTCTGCTAAGTCCTTCTTCTTACCTTCTCTAAGGAGAAACACTTGAACTCATTGCTACTAATACCTCCCAACTCAATTTTAGAAAACAAATAGTCCCCTAAGTTGAAATCAAGAGGGAATACCTGGAAACAAATGTCGTTGCAGAGCCTCCTTAAATTCATGGACTTTTATGGGATATCCAGGACTTTTTCGTGCAAATGAAGCTGATGAAATCAGGTAAGAGTTGTAGTCTGTGACCAAGCTGGAAGGAGCTAGACAATTACATGGAAAATTGTTTCAAACAAAAAATAAAAAGTAAAAAAAAAAAAAAAAAAAAAAAAGCCTCTTTTTTTGGCTCTTATTACTGGAGACCTATGATGTGCATGGCTGCCTGAGCTGTCATACTTACTGTGCCTCAGACAGCTCACATATGTCAGGAAAGGAAGTCTGGGGATTCCTGCAGGGGACATATCACACATATTCTAGGTCACTGTGTGACTCGGCTTGGGCAAGTCATTTCACCTCTCTCTCACGCAGGAGTGAAGTAATAATCCCTCAGGTTCATTTCAGTTATAATATTCTGACTCCAAGTTGTCTCTAAGAAGAAAAAGCATCTAGTGGGGATCAGCAAGGATTAAAGCACAGTATTTGAAAAATGGTGTTGGCCAGGTGTGGTGGCTCACACCTGTAATCCCAGCACTTTGGGAGGCTGAGGTGGGTGGATCACCTGAGATCAGGAGTAAAAGACCAGCCTGGCCAACATGATGAAACCCTGTCCCTACTAAAAATACAAAAATTAGCTAGGCATGGTGGTGCGCCTGTAATCCCAGCTACTCGGGAGGCTGAGGTGGGAGAATTGCTTGAACCTGGGAGGCAGAGACTGCAGTGAACTGAGATCGTGCCACTGCACTCCAGTCTAGGTGACAGAGCAAGACCCTGTCTCAAAAAAAAAAAAAAAAAAAAAGTTGTTACAGTTATTTATGTCCCCATCTAAGGTTAGATGGAATCCAAAGTGGCAGGATCTTTGGGGGAGAGGAGGAGAGAAGTGAACTCAAACAAATTTAAAACAAGAGAAAGAATGACCCAGTAAAATTCTCTAATCACTCAAGTCTTGATCAAATTTGGAACACAGTGGCCGTGAAAGCAAGCAGATAATCCATAAAGGACTATAGGCTTAGTTCGCATCTTCTTTTGCATCATTTTCCCCCACTTAGTGGTGCCCTAAGCCCAGTGGCTTAAGGTTATTAGCTCCTAATGTTACTGAAACAGTTCAAATTTGTCAACAATGTTTTGCTTGAAAGAATTAGTGGAATAGTGGAGTCGTTTTTTTTTTTTTTTTCAGAGGGGGTCTTGCTCTGTTGCTTAGGCTGGAGTGCAGTGGGTGATCTTGGCTGACTGCAACCTCTACCTCCCAGGCTCTAGCAATCCCCCTACCTCACCCTCCCATGTAGCTGGGACTACAGGGGTACACCACCACGCTTGGCTAATTTTTATATTTGGGGAGAGATGGGACTTCACTATGTTGGCCAGGCTGGTCTCAAACTCCTGGGCTCAAGCAATCTGCCCACCTCGGCCTCCCAAAGTGCTAGGACTGCGCCTGGCCTCGGAGTCATTCTTAAACAGTGTTTCTCTAGAATATCATCTCTAAAATGAGGCTATTCCAATTTTGACTGGGATGATCAGCCTACACAATTTTTTCAACAGGTTTGTAGAGAATAAAAGGAGACCTTTCCTAACTCATGGCTGATGGCATATGGTAACTTTCCTTTAAAAGTTGCTTAGGCTGGCCAGGAGTGGTGGTTCACACCTGTAATCCCAGCACTTTGGGAGGTTGAGGTGAGTGGATCACTTGAGGTTAGAAGTTCAAGACCAGTCTGGGCAACATGGCGAAACCCCATCTCTATTAAAAATACAAAAATTAGCCAGCATGGTGGCGTGTGCCTGTAATCCCAGCTACTTGGGAGGCTGAGGCAGGAGAATCACTTGCAGCTGGGAGGTGGAGGTTGCAGTGAGCCAAGATCACACCACTGCCCTCCAGCCTGGGTGACAGAGTCTTAAAAAAAAAAAAAGAAAAGTTGTTTAGGCCATAGAATCCAAACGTTTCTTGACCTCAAATGGTTTATATTCTGAGTCTTTGGAACTAAAAATGTTAGATAAGGAACACTGTAATGGGAGAACACTTATAAGCAAATATAAATTTCTATTTTTTTAACTAAAATATATGATCAAATATCCACAAAAGGCAGAGAAAGGGGTTCCTCCCTGCTGATGGGGACAATGACTTCACTTCCCTTTACCTGACTGAGTATCCAGCATCATGACCACCCACTGCTCAGCTGTCAGCCGTGTGACAGAATTGTCTTTCATGATCCAGGAATCTGGGGCCTCTGCAAACACCACGCAACAGAAGGGCTCCACTTGAATCACACAGACGTAACCATCCAGGACATCTTTTTGGTACACATTCAGGATTTTTGTAGTGAAATTTACCTTTGGCTTCTCACAGCAGAAGTGGAATGTAGGCAATTTTTCAATGCAGTTTTCTATTTCTTTTTTTAATAAATCAGGATTCACTTTTTCCCACTTACATCCAACCACTTCTTTGCTCTTATCATCCACCCCAATGAGGACATATCCCCCTTGAGTATTGGCAAATGCAGAAACATAATGAGGCAGCATTTCTTTAATCCGAGGTATGACCTTTTTGGTGGTGAACCTTTTAAATTCGACATGTGTTGACTCAGTAAAGTTGAGTTTCTCCTTATACATGAGTCTGTCCTTTTTAAAAAACTCTGAGGCCAATATCCTCATATCTTCCTCTTCCTGAATGTATCTATCGAGAACCTGCTGAGGATGCAACTTCTTCACCCTTGGTCTTCCTCTTTGGGCTCTAAAACATTTCTCTCTGAGAAGCTCCAGGGCACTGCTAGCACTCAAGTTGATAGCAGAAGTCACATCTCTCTGATATAAATTGGAGCGCAAGCTGCAAATCCTTAGTGGAAGGCTGAAAACATCTGGGCTCCATGACTTCACAAAAATGAGGAGATTGTGCCCCTGCTGCATGTAGTCAAGGTATTTCTGTGAACCTGAAGGAAGGAGCTTTTGAAAAGAAGTTTCCAAATCCTGTCCCAGCCCATGGCATTGGTAACTATAGGTTTTATCATCAATCTCTGCTTTGATCACACCACCTCCAGAATTTAACAGTGCACATATAGCCCGGATGATTCTAGAATTCTCAGATCTTTTCAAATAGCTGTTGGTCATCTTCTTCCTGTTTTCTTCCCCAAAAATCACTTTGCCCACATCTACTATTACCTCAGGATAGGGCATTTCAGTATCAGTCTTGAGACTCTCCATTTCAGCAGCCCCTCTGTGCTCCAAACAATAAAAGAAAGGAGTTCCTATAATCAGGATAGAAATGTTTCTACATTAACAAGAATTCCAAAGATTACATTATTTTCTTCAAAACTATCAATTACTGGAGATACATTTTAATGTTGGAAATCATCTCTCTATATATGTATATTTGTTGTTGTTTGTTTGTTTGTTTTGGGTTTTTAGGGTTTGTTTGTT